CCTATTTTTTTTAAATCGGTTCGATCGGGTTACACTACGAAGTTAACATTAATACTTGAACCGAAAACAATTATTTACTGAGCAGCTGAAAAACTATGGAATGAAAAATGGAAAGTAATTAAACGAACATTCGGATCAACAATTGTGGAAATTGACAACACAAAGTTCCAGCTAAAAAAATGCAGAAAACGAATCGAAAATGAATGTGTCTTTCTATGTGATCCAACTAGTGCATACGGGACTGAAAACAAACAAACATAGAAATATTCTGATTAACTGCTTGAGGGCACCATGGAGACGGAGAGAACTGTATAAAATATCGTTAGATGATATACTGATTCTTTTGTCAAAGGTGGGATCGATTACCGAAAAAAAACAAAGAGGAACAATTAAAGGCATCTTCACACGAATTTCAAAGAAGAAGTTTGCATTCAATATCAAGAGAAGGCTGATATTTAAGATTTCTTTTGATGCATGCATTAATCTGAAGCAAGTGAGTAACACAACAACCCAGTCTATCTTGAAAAACGTAAGTAATAACAATTTGGCAAACGATTTGATAGCTCGGATGCGTGTGATGTTTAAAAAATCAAAGACAGTTGAAAAAATATTACACAATCACAGACAGGTGCTTACACAAGCACCGGACTGTAATTGTGCAGTATCCCGACTTTCAAAAATTGAGAACCACATTGTCTGCAGAATAAGTGAAATCACAGAAAATCAGCTCTTGTGGAATGCAAAAAACGTACCCTATATAAACGAAAAAATTGGAAAGGAAGAAATTAAAAGGACAATCATCACTACCATTGCAAGTATACCACGACCACTAAGGAAGAAAAGAGAAATTAAAATAGATGTCTCTACTTGCATCGAAAAGAAGAATGATATGAAGATTTTTCTTCACATATCAGAAGTATGGGAAGTAAAAAAAAAATTGACACAATGTATCCTATCACCATTGGACAAAAATTTTGGAGAAACTTTTGTGGAATGCTGTAAAATCTGGTACGAGAAGACCCGAAAATTCTTTTCGAAATCGTATCATTACGAAATTATACAACAAACGGAATCTGAGATAACTCAATCGGACAAAAATACGTATCATGGATGTGGGCTGAAGAAAATCGCAAAATGGGATGAAAGAGATCATACGGAAATGCGTATACAATTCCAAGAAACAAGGACGTCACCAGACGCCAACCAATTGTGTCGACATGTAAGGAATCATCTCGGAAATCATAGAAGGTACTATCAAGAGTTATCAACTTCATGTGTGAAGCATTGAAAATTGATTTCTCACTAAAAGGACGAACCAACTACTACCTAGACTGAAGAAATGCAATCAAGTACCAAATTAAACATATGGGGATATGGCTACGATAATCTTCTCCACATACGATGTCAAAGATATGTTTTCGAATCTCGATCACACACATATCTTAAACGTCATGCAATGGATGATGAAAACGGCGAAAAAAAAAATGGAAAACTCAGTTGTGTTACAAGATGAGAGGAAAGTACATGAACTTTGGAAAAGCAAACGGAACCTACGGGTGAAGAACATTAAAAATTGAGTGCCTAATGAATCTGTTGTACTATTAAAAATTGAGAGGAAAGATGAGAGGAAAGTACAAGGAACATTATTACGCCAAGTAATGAGGATACCAATGGGGAAGGGCTCTAGCCCACCCATTGCCAACATGGTATGAGCGTTCGACGAGTACAAATGGTGTGCGCAGACTGGAATTGATGAGAAACTTATCCACGGTATGAGTTTTGTGGACGATGTAATGATGATCATAATAACAAGTAAGGAAGATCAAATGAAAGAGTTTGAATGTCTGAAATTTTTTCAAACATGGTACCACCAATCTCTAAAACTTGAAATTACATCAGACAACATGAACACAGAATGAACATATCTGAAAACAACGGTGACGAAATCAGTCAACGAACAAAATCATAAGATATGATGAAAGTAGCTCCAGATTGAAGGCATGTTGGAAATCAACGACGACAAGGACAACACAGAGAGCGACTGCGGGAGATCCTGATGATAGATTATGAGTACACTGCAAGGATAGGGAAAGTGGCGGAGAAGGACTGGGAACGAGGGGTATAAATACTGAGGATAGTGGATGAAATGATTACCTGAGCAGTGAGGTAGAAGGGTAATCGCGACGGGTGTCGCATGCAATGGACATTACGTGTGTGTTGTGAACCCCCCTCCTCTCTCTCTATTTCTCTCTCTCTCACACTCATAACAATAAATGGAACAAAACTCCTCTCTCTCTCTCTCTCTCTCGTGTTAGCTCTTAGTCTCATTGATTTGGCTACCTTAGGGCTGCGTTCCCCGCGCCCACGCGGTAGACAATTTTATTGGAATACAATAGTTTTTTCTTTTCGAGATCCGAATAGAAAGGGTACATGTCTTCGAATACAAAGTGTACATTTTCTATTCGAGGTAATCTGCTATTCGAGAAAAGTGCACCCGCACCTCGGCCTCCTACGGGCATCTACCGGTCCTACGCTGTCCTGGCCCTTGCAAGGCCCCAAAACCTCAAAATGCCCACCCTCCCGACGACCACCGAAGTTGAAATTTGATTGACGTTGAAATGTCTCAGGGGGGAAAAACGCAACCCTGACGGGCGGCGAACACCAGTATGTTCTCTTCCGGGGCGTGGTCCCACTAGCAAAGAGGATCGGATCGAATTCCTGCATCTGGAAGTTTTTGTGGAGAGGTGCAGGAAATCGAGATTGAACTGCTTTTCTGCATCGCTGCATAAAACACATCCAGATTCGGGCATTCGATCCGATCCTGTTTGCTAGTGGGACCTCGGCCCCGGCTTATCTGCCCTTAGGCGCCGAAGTGCTTGCGGGCAAGAAAACGACCGGTGGCTATGCTACCGTCCCACGGCAGAACGGATCGTTGAGCGCCGGTTCCACGCTGCCTGTGAAGAATTTTCCCTCCAAACTCTCCCCACTGCAGCGCAATCCGAATTTGAACGACACTTTTTGAAATGAAGTAATGCCGATGGATCGCGTGGATGCTAGGAATTGTGAGCGTGCGATGGGTCATGTAAGACGGGTGGCGGTCGCCTCGCCCGCGCTCAACGCTCGTCGAGACAAGGGACTTGACTGGATATCGGGCCATCAACATCCCGTCAAGGCGTTCCTCATCATGAGTCGATCGATTGAGTCTACATTAATCAGCTCTCCATCAAGCGGTACACAGATGTTTGACAAAAAGTCGGAGTATTTGCTTGGTCACCACACATCACGTTGGCGTTCACGTTGGCGTAGACGGAGGGTCAGCGGACATGAGGCTGACGTCGCGCCGCGGCGACGTATTCGTGCTATGTTCGGCCATCGTGCTGGCTGATGCTGGTCCAATCGGCGTTGATGGTAACATAATATACGTGCACGGCAGACATGCTCGACGTCTACAGTAGGTTCTCCCCTCCTCTTGCTTTGCCCCCGGGGTTTGGCCTGCAGGCTGGCTGAAGATCGGGACGTTAACGTTATTGCTTTGGCGCCAACCTTGAGGAAGCAAAGGATTTTCGTAGATGAATGATACCGTCGAGTGACGCGCGCTCGACGTCTACGATCTCAACTCCACTTGATCGCGCCCGCCGTTTGCCCAACAGGCTGACTGAAGATCGGCGGGGGACGATACTGGCTTTGGCTTTGGCGCCAACCTGGGGGGCGGCGGACTGCAGTCGTCGACGAGACCTTACAGCCCAGCTCAGGCTTCAGCTCAGCTCAGGCTTCAGCTCAGCTCAACTTGAGAAGAGGGGGCTTGGTCGACCAAACACTCCCCAAGCTAGGGCCAATTGATGTTGATGGCAGAAGAACGGGTTCCCGCGCCAATCCCTGCGGCAGTAGCCATCTACATTCAGCGGTAATGTTGACGTCATCATTTTCTTTCCTTCAATCCGCCCTTGCTCCCTAGGCAATCACAATGTGGCCATCTAAAGTCAGTCTGCTGATGTGTTTTGTCCTGTGCGCCAACGTGTGCTCATGTTGTCATGGTGATGCCTGATGCACGACGCGATCGAAGAGTCTAGCGCTAAAGACGCGGGCGGTAGGGGTACCGAAAACTTCGCATCTTGAAGTCGTTGGCGCCACGCCACATAAGGGCGCTACGTGTCCCAAGGTCATTTTCTTCGGCGACGATTAGCGAAAAGTCGGCGATGCCGAGCTCGACGTGGAAGAAGGAGATTACCTCCCCCAGGACGCGAGCATGCCATCATAATCAATTGCAAAAGGGAGGCCTCAACCACGGTCGCCGACGGAAGGAAGGAAGGTCGGAACCAGAAGAGGTAGAGGCTGAGGATTCGGCCCATCCTGCCGCAGTATCCTTCGTGCGAAATGTGGCGCACATATGTTTGGTTGGTTTTGAGTTTCCGCCCCACAATCGTTTGTCACACTCTCCACTACAACGGCTAACGGCACCAGCATCCGCACCAGAGTCTTCCCCTTTCCACGTGTCATCAACTGTCATACGATCCAATCGTCGAAGCGCATTATCGGGTATTGAAACTTGTGCTAGGTAGTCACTTCTCCATGTCTTTTACGGCCGTGGAAAGGGAAAGACGCGAGAGAAGTTACTCTGTTTACGCGAGAAGTTGGACCAAGATGCGCCTCAAAGAGTTGGCCGTATCTGCAGCTCAGCAGGTAATGGCAAAGTCACATTGTGCGGCCAGTGGTTGTGACTGAGTCCGAGTTCGTTGAGTCCGAACCCTCGTTTCTCTCTCTCTCTCTCCCTCTGTGTGTGTGTGTGTGTGTGTGTGTGTGTGTGTGTGTGTGTGTGTGTGTGTGTGTGTGTGTGTGTGTGTCTCGCTAGCTCGGTCGGTCGTGCGCGCACGCTCACTTTCGCTTGCCGCGTTGAGGAGGCGCTGACAATAGATGTACTGATGGCATACTTAGGTGGCAAGAAATCTCCCGAAGGCCTGCGTGTCTGAGTTGCTGGCGGGTCTGTAAAGCGGTATTTGGAGGGGTGAACGAGGAGTGGAGGGCGTGGATGTAGACGGACGAGCGGTCTTGGAGAGGGTTCCAGAAGGAAGGCGAGAAAGGGAGAGCGCAGAGAGGTTGATGGAAGAAGTGGTGAAGAAGGGTTGGCACTGATTCATCTGCTAATCACGTTGTGTCCAGGGTGGAGTTCAATTGACTTGGTATGCGATCCATTCCCTCTTCTGCCGTCGTACTCTGGTTCCCTGGCGGCTTTGGTCTTCGAAGCACGCACATAGAAAGAGAGAAATTAGAGAGGGGAGAAGACAACAAGCGGACGAAGAGACTTGGCGAAGTAGTGACCTCTCTCTATAAGAAGGAGATGGGTCTGCTTGGGGATCGATCCGTTGCCCTTCCGCTGCCGTACTATATACGCAGCGCTCAGTTGTCTCTTCGCCGCGCCACGTTGGCCAGACACGTGGAGAATACCGACACTGAATTCCATCATTTGCTGAAGTTTGAGAAGCTGGTGGGGAAGACAATCCCCTCACACCCGCAATGTTCCGCCACCAGGAGAGTAGATGGACAGGAGGAGGCTCGTCCTTCTCCCGCTGTGGAGTCGCTCAAAGAGAAACTGGACGAGGTGCGGTCGCGCATCGCAGAGTTGGAACAATCTCGAGGGCGCAACCTTCAGCTCCCGTCGGCCGCCGATGGCGCGGACTCCTCTTCTCCCTCCTCTTCTCCTTCCTCCTCCTCCTCCTCTCCCTCCTCCTATGCTATGCTTCAAGCAGATGACCGTGAGAACAAACCTTTTCTGTCAAACCGCCTTGCTTTCACTCCGCGGCCTTTATTCGAGACAAATTGCTCTGGGAGCAAAGCCTGGCCACCTGCACCCAGAGAGGACACGTCGACGATCCAGGGGAACGACAACCATTCAGGGAGGACACCTCCTCCCAACGACCTTCCGAGAACAGCGGTGCCTTCTGCTTCTTATTCTGCGGCGGGTTGCGAAGATAAAAGATCGGAGGCCGTCGACAGCGTGGAGAACCACCACCTCCGCTCTCCTCATGTGAACAGCCAGTCTGTGCTCCTCGAAGTTGGCCGGACCGGCGAGAGACAACCAAAAACAGATGCAGCGGAATATTATGGAGGACGAGGAGGGCCGGAAGGAGGAGGAGGAGGAGGAGGAGGAGGAGGAGGAGGAGGAGGAGGAGGCTGGAAGGAGAAAGAACACCAGCAAGAGTTAGCCACTGGGCTCCCGAAGGAAGTGGGCCAGGTCAAAAAGGTGTTGGAGGAACCTGTAAAGATTGGCGAAAGTCCTCAAACAACAAATAGGGTACGTTGGCGCATGCCAGGGAAACGGGGACTGCTCGATCCGTCGTCGTTTTCCCAATCGATTGACGGTCCAACCCTCTCCTCATTGCTCGTGGAGTCGGAGGATGATTTACTGAACTCTCCTCCTCCAGGACTAGCTGGAAAACTGACGAAGAAGCCAAGTGTCACCGGACTGCCGCGGCCTGTGTCAACTGGTGCCCCGAGGCGAGGGACTGATGACGGTGACGATGGTGCTGATGACGTCATGAAGAGAGCTCCTGCTGCTGCTGCTGCTGCTGCTGCTGCTGCTGACCATGTCATTCATGTGAATCATGGACTTGACGAACGACCTTCAAGGGACCTGGGTGCACACCGTCGTTCCAACGAGATGAACGAGAAGGGATCGAAGGATGGGAAGTGCGGTCGCTTTTTTGAGACCGGCTTTCTGACGTCAGGTGTCAGGAGAATGCATGGAGATATGGGCACGACCAGAGTTATCGCAGGTACTATGAATTGCTCGTCGAGTTCCGTTGCTGACGCGGGCTGCGCCAGCAGTTACCTTCATGGGGATGACGGGAATGACTTACCAAGCACGACGTTCTCGAGATCACGGTCGGTCTCGAATGGCGCTCCTCCTCCAATGAGCAGCAGCAGTTGTATGAGCTTGTTTGCTGACGGCCGAGAGTCTGCACCTTCGCCATTGCCATTGCTGGCTTCTCCTACGTCAAAGTCAGAGCAAGAGGGGGTCCTGGCGGCGCCGTCGAAGTCTATGGTTGGATCCTTGGGGTTTGCAACACCGCCGAGGCGCTTCTCGACGAGCGGAGCTGTCAGCGCCAAAGAGACTGAGGCTACACCATCGTCATGGCCAGCCTCTCCTGCGTCAGGAAAGCATGTCTCTCCACGTCCAGCTCACTATTCAAATGCCGATCTCTCGAGGTTAACCACGGGAGCAACGACAGTAGCGGCGACGACGATGACGATGACCACGTCTCTCTCGACTAGCGGTGTTGTCGAGGTGAGAGACTCTGCCCCCTTCTCCTCGCTAGCTTCTCCCTCACGTTGTTCTTCTGCAATGGCAGGTCAAGTTCCCCTGGCATCGCCGAAGTCACCGGACTGTTCCTCAGAGTTCAAGCCGCCGAAGGGTTACTGCCTCTTGTCGATGAGGGATCAGACAAACCTACGGGCATCATCTACTACGTGTCCATCGCTGACCGCTAGGTCGACGGCAGAGGAGGACCAGCAGGCAATTCTATTCACGTCGAAGACCGGTGGCTCTCCTGGTCATCAGATGAAGAAGAAGACGACGGCATGGACGTCTGCCGCTGTCAACAACATAAGGGAGGCTGCCAGCTCAGCATGGGCAAACTCGGCTGCAGCCTCGATGACAACAGAGCAAGTTCTCATTGCGTCGCCTATGTTGACCGTTCATGGGTCGCCGATGTCGACCTGCACTGAGGGTGGTTTATCGGTCAAATGCGGCGCCGGAGAGGCGTGCACGCCCGATCGTTTGATGAAGAACACGTGTACCCCACAGCGTGTGCACCGTGTCTTCCAACCATCCCTCCTCTCCTCCGACGGGACAGCTGCTGAAGCTCACGATATTGCCGACGACGGTAACAACAATCATTGCGCTTTTTCCCGCAGAGCTGAGGGTGATGGCAATGGTTATGATCGTCTTTGCGGCTGGGCGCCCGCGCAATCTTCTTGCCTATCGTCCATCGCTGGCAGATATCCGAGGCTAGTGAATCGTGATACAGAGAGCAACGGTGGCGGGTCAACGCTGTCAGAGAAGTGGCAGCGGTTAACCATATCAACGAGAAGGAACTATGAGCTTAATCACAACCACCAGGATGACGATCGTCTAGGGGACTTCGAGGTACCTGGTCATGACAATCGTCCAGGGGACTCGGAGGCACATACTCATGACAATCGTCTAGGGAACTCCGTGGTAGCTGGTGGTCATGATAAGCTGAGGGAAAGTATCGTCTGTGGAGAGCCGCAGGTCGTCATCAAGCTTTTCGGTCAGACGGTGTCAAAGGAGGGGGAGAGGGAGGAGGGAGAGAGGGAGGAGGGGGCCAAGCAGGAGGAGAGCGGTGGTGAGCAGGTAGCGCAGGTGCAGCGATTGCGATCGCATGCGGCCAATCTTCGTCTCCTGGAGAGGGTCGGTCGCGATGACCAGAGAGCGAAGAGGACGTCGACGGCGGCTGTGCTGTCAGTGATCCGAGCTAGGAAGAGCGACGATGGCGACTGCTCTCACGACGATGAAGAACACAAGGGTTCAGCGAACGTCGTCGAGGCTCGTGCGACCAAGGGGACAGAGTCGGGCATGGCAAGGATTAGAAGAAGAACCCTTCTCTCGATAGAGAGGGAGGATACGGGACATAGCCAGGATAATGACGACCATAGCCAGGATAATGACGAGCGTGAGAGTGATGGTCATGCTGGTGGCAGTGGTGTTGTTGCGCCTTTGGATTGTCCGTCTCCTCAAGATCATGACCCGGGGTCATTGCAGGGAAAATGCCAAGGTCCTTCTCATCATCATCCGCTGGGAAATGAGGATGACTATCTTTTGAGGAAACAATTCAGGGGGAGAAAACTTTTCCTTCCAAGGCCTCCATCGTTATTGTCAACGGCTCTGTGCGACCAACAGGAGGCACGCGGATGTGGCTCGAAGAAGAAGAAGAAGAAGCTAGAGCTGCTCAGGAAAGAAGGAGAAGAAGCGGGTGCAGAAGAAGATGAAGAAGGGGCTAAAGACGAAGGAGGAGGAGAAGAAGAAGAAGAAGAAGAAGAAGAAGAAGAAGAAGAAGCGAACTGCATTGGTCTGCCTTCCGCCCGTGTTGACGGACATGAAGAGGGAGGTCGATCGGCGAGCTGCTCCGCATTTGACTTCTCCATCTCCTCGTCATCTTTCGCAATGGCTGCGGTTCCCTCCGCCGTTGCGACCAGCAGGTGGGCGTGCACTGAGCGGACGAGACAGACTCTGAGACCCTTTTCTTTTGCTGCCGCCGTCACGGTCGCCTCCGCTGCGCCTTCCGTCAACGGGGAGGAACACTCTCTTTTGCCTCCTACAAAGAGAGAAGAAGATCCACGAGTTCGAAATCCTGAAGTCATGGGGAACGTCTCTTGCGATCAATCGACACGTTCGGAGGAGTCCTTGCTGACCACTTCCATGGATTCAACTACTGCGTCCGAGTTCTCCATTCGCGACGCGCCTTGGTCGTTGTCCGGGTTAATCAGCCGGCTCAATGCCGTTGAAATGAACAGAAGCTTACGCAATGGCACGTGGCGGCGGCAACCATTGGAAGACCGGCGGTATCTGCATGATCATCCACCCGGCCACAAGTTAGCAGGAATTGAGAAAGCCGCCGCCACCTTTGACAGCAGCAGCAAAGGGGAATTGAACGCGCGGCCACCAACAACATCCGAGGGAATTGATCTGCATGGTCAAGCTTCGGAATCTGGGGGAAAAGGAAGTTGCCTCGAGCAACGCTGCTCTAGTGGTATTACCGCAGACAGTACGGAGCGACAGCGATCGTCCCGTCCACATTTTGATTTTGGTACTCTTTCTTCTGGTACTCTGAAAGGAACATCTTTGCCATGCCCGGAGAATGGCAATCAAGATGACGAGGAGCGAGAGATCTCTGCTCTCTCTGCTCTCTCTCCTGTACCGGCGGCTGCAGCTTCGAAATCGTTCCACAGTACGGAGGCCTCTCGCTGTGGAGGCGGCGAGCTTTCAAATCCTGCTTCCAGGACTGATTCCCACGACAGCGAACCTCCACGCAGAGCATCACAGACTTCTTTTTCTTCTTCTTCTTCTTCTTCTTCTTTGCGGAAGACTGCTGGAAGAACGGACACGCAGCACCAGCTAGAGAGAAGAATCGGTATGAAAACTACTAGCATTAGAATCAGCGAGAACGGCGACAAGAGTAGGAGCGCATTCACTGTCGGTCAATCCCACCAGGTTGAAGCGGAGCCCAGCTTGTTCTCACTTGCAGCTTCTCGTAACGACGGCTCGTTTGTGGTCGATAACAAGACGTGCGGTGCTGAGAACCTGCCGCAGACGGACAATGGAGTGATAGAGAGAGAAAGAACACGAGGTGGAGGAGATGAAGGAGAGGAGGTCCGGATTGAAACGGAAGAGAATGGAACACGCGATTGCGCCGACGTTGGAAGGCAGGGGGGCGAACTGGATGAGAAGAGTCTCGGTCACGCCAGGCTCAAGTTTAATCGATTGACGTCAACAATTGTAAGAAAAGGAGGTGATAGCAGTAATACTAGTAAGTCCAGCAGTGAACGTGTCGGCAGCGCGAGCGTCGGCTCGGCGGCGGCGCATCTCGCGCTTATGGCGGATGCGATGAGGTCGCGGGTCATTGACGTCGATCGCGCTGTTCGGCGATCGGAAGGGGGTAGCTCGCGGGAGAACGGGGACAGCCGCGCGAGCTTGCCGCCGCCACGTGGCACTGATATATTGACTTCGAGGCAGATATCAGATGCGGCCGCTGCGAGGTGGGGCTTCTCAGCAGTCCCACCTATCAGGAATAGTGACGCGCATTCGAACAGGCCAATTGATGACCGTGTGGATGGTCGTGCCAGTCCGTTAATCGGAATAGAGGAAGAAGAACAAGAAGTAGCAGTAGTATTAGATCAAGGAGGAAGAGGAGAAGAAGAAGGAAAAGAGCGGCAAGACCGGTGTTGGACGTCCAAGTATCTGGAGAGCAATCCCTTCCAAGGATGCGAGAGCAGCAGCAGCAGCAGCAAAATCAGAGGGCCGCTGAATTCAGCTTCGTCCTTGATGGGTCCGGTTACCACCCCCTCTAGTGATCATCGTGCGGGCTTCCAGGTGGCAAGCTCAAGCTCTAGTGAGCAGCGATCGGAAATCGAGCTCCAGATTTCTTCCCGAGTTCCGCCCAAGGACGGTGCCTGTTTGGGCGCCGCTATTGGTAGTGCTAGTGTGCCGTCTTCGGGGGTGGCCGAAAGAAGCCTTCGTGTTTGCACTAATCTCGCACCGTCATCGGCGGGCCCAGATGAGGAGGATGGATCTTGCGAATACCGCAAAGGAAGTGCGGAATCCGATGGAGATGGAGATGGAGATGGGGGACGTCGCCATGGTGATCTTTCCATTCCGAAGCGCAGGGGGCGCTCTTCTGCCTTTAGTTCGTCGTCACAAGCCAGAGGAGAAGAGACTGTGGTGGTGGACGTCAAGGGATCGCGGCGGACGTCATCCTCGCCGTCCGATTCGATGACGACATTGGATGACAAAGTGATGATGATCAAGAAGAGAGAAGAAGAAGAGAAATGGAAGGGTGCCCGCTCGGATCGCCTCGCGTCCGCCGATCGTTATGTGGAAGCCTCTGTGATGGAGCTGATTGGATCTTTGGAGATCCGAATAGAGGCGGAATTTGTAAAGAAGACGGAGTTCATGTCGGTGGTTGACATTCTCCAAGAGAAAAGTGAGGTGGCGGTTGGGCGGGCCGCGAATGAGGCATCTGTCGAGACGGAAAGAAGGATGAGACGAGAATTCGAGTCCCTAGTAGGCGTCATAGAACCGATCCTGAAGATGAAACACCAGTTGTCCGAAATGGTGGAAGAATGGGGGACAACGAAGTGCGGTTTCAGGGTTCCTCAGGAGTGGACTACGGTCTTGGATAGATGGACGAATATGGAGAGTACATGGGAAAGATGGACTTCCACTATGTCTTCTGTTAACGAATCGAAGAAGATAGTAGATGTATCGTTAGCCAAAGTGGACAGAGAGGTTCAGCAGTTGGCGAAGATGAAGGAGATGTGGTGGACTCTGCTGAGGTGGTTGGACGACGTGGTTGATCCCGCGGCAGTCTGCACAGAGAGCGATGGTGAGTGGTTGTTGCGTGGCCTGGTGGATATGATCAGTGTCAAACCTGAGGAAAAGACGGGGAAGAGGAGACGGCGAAGGAGGAGGGGAAAGTCCTGGGAACCTGCCTGCCACTCGCAAGATGCTGTGGAGCAGCACTCGGCGCAGGTTCTTGGCAGCAAAGCAAGAGGAAAAGATGAGGAGGGTAGGGAGAAGCAGGAGAGTGACAAGGGTGATGACGATGATAACGAGGAGGAGGTGGAGGAGGAGGAGGAGGAGGAGGAGGAGGAGGAGGAGGAGGAGGACAAGGAAAATGACGAGGAGGAGAAAGCAGGTATGTTGGTGGAGGCTGTGGCCACCCGCCTGTTAATGGTGATAAGACGACTTGGCACTCTGGAAGAACTGCATGCGGCATGTAAGCAGTTAACAAGTCGAGTTCAGCAGATCGAGACGAGCTGGGGAGGGAGAGACTCGTGGGAGAGCAGGATTCGAGAGCTGGAGGTACTGAAAACCGATTGGCTAGCCGTCGTGGAGAGTGTGCAGGAGGTGCTGGACATGAGGAGAGAATGGATGGTGGAGATCGAGCAGCTGAAGACGATGGATGTGACGATGAGGGAGTGGATGGCCGTCATGCGGCAAGTTGCCAGCTTGGGCGCGGTAGCGGAGGGATACACTGCGGTGCCAGAAAAGGGGAAGGATGTTGAAGGGAGAATGCAAGAGGGAGAACGAAGGAGGGAGGTGATGGCGATGGATAATGCCGGTGAGCAAGTAGCTCGTCTTGAGGAGGAAGTGCAACTAGGCGGAATGATTGCCGGTGCTTTGTCGACAAGCACGTTCGCTGCATGTCAGGGTCGTTGGGACAGACAATGCTGGCCGACTGTGATCGAGGAGGAGGAGGAGGAGGAGGAGGAGGTAGAGTGCGATATCGTGGCCACCTCTGAGGAATCAATCATAATGAGGAATAAGAAGCGGCGGCGTGCGCGCAATGAAGAAATGGAAGGGGATTGTAATGACGACGGAGACAGGCGCGTCATTATCAGCCAGAGCAATGCGAGCAGCAGAACCAGGGAGGTGCTTCCCCCCATCGCGGACTCGATGATTGCTTTGACTGGGGCTGTTGGATCTTCTTCGCCTACAATTGGGAGAAATATGGAGGATGGTTGTTGTGGTCCTGTCAGTGGAGGACTTGGAGATTACGACAATGGCGACACCAAAAAGTGCGCCAGATCCGTGGGAGGCGGCGTGGTAATACAGAGTCCATGCAGTCCAAAAATAGCTAGTTTAGGAGGTGACTCCAGTCCACCCGCAGATTTGACACGCAAGCTAACTTCCGTCATGGATCTTCTTCGCCAAGTACAAGAAGATTCTCGCGTGTGCGGTAATGAACTCGTCGAGAACGCCAGACAGATCTCTCTCCTCAAAGAGTTAGTCGACATCAGTTCAAATTGCGCACTTGTCGGCAACGGCTTGCCTATCCTCGAGGATGTTCAAGAGGGGCTCAATCAATGCAGGGCAGACGTTGGCGCTTTGATGAGAGAGGTAATGGTAACGAGAGAGGAGAGAGAGAAGCGAAGAGAGGAGGTGGAGAGAGAGCACACAGCCCTGCTGACACGCTGGGAGGAGTTGTGCACGGAGGCGGCGGCATCCCTGCGCAGGGAGATGGAGAAGGAATGGAAGCAGAGATCGAAGGCGCTGGAGAGAGAGCTTGCGCTCATGATGGAGGAGCGGAGGAGTGCGGAGGTCCTCGAGCGTGAGAAAAACTTGTCCTTGATGGCAGAGTGTCAAGAGCGGGCGATGGCAGAGATGTCTCAAGTAGGCAGAGAGGTGGAGCTGACCTGGCAAATGAAGATGCAGTACCTAGAGGGACATATCTCTGCCGTCGTGGACAAGCAAATGGAGGAGGCAAACTCCAGTCTCCGTGCCCGTGTCCAGTCCTTTCAAAACGCCATGGATACTGCGGAAAACGCTGTCAAAGAGAGAGTGAAGAAGGCCGTAGACATTGACGCGAAGAACGTAATCGAGGAGCTGGTTGTCGGGCTGAAAGAGAGATTGATGAGGGATGTCGAGCAAGAGTTGAGGGCCAAAGTTCAGGAGTACGTTGCCCAAGAGATTAGCGAAAGCAGTACCGCGATCGAGGGTAAACCAGTCCGGTTGCTTTCGAGGCGCGGGCTCATGAAGAAGCTGGGTCGTACTAAGTCTTGTTCTCCAGTGGGAACGGTCAGCACGTCGACGAATGCCGCTTCCAACAAGAAGATGCCATATGGCGAGGAGGAGGAGGAAGCGGAGGAAGAGGAGGGCGGAGAGATAGACAGAAGGCAAAGACGAGGCCACCAGAAGAAGAACAGGGCCTCCAATCCACGCGTAGCAGTGGAGAAGGACGAGGAGGAGGAGGAGGAGGAGGGAGTTAAGCAACGCCAAGGAGGCGGAAATGTGAGCTCCGACACAGAAACCATGGCGGCTTCATGGCGTGCTGGAGTACAAGAGAGTGGGAGTGAGTTTTGCGGAGGAAGGAACTGTCGACGAGGCATGTGGAGGATCGCTAGAGTCAGAGATTCGGCGGCAAGAATGACAGAGAGAACATCACTGAGAGTGGGATTTGACTTGGTGGGGTCAAAGCACCAGAAGCAGCAGCAGTTGCAGCAAGCTGAAATGGGGGAGGCAGATGAGGCCATGTGCCGAGGCCTGAAGCACCGGCAAGCTGGAGAACGTGGAGAGCATGAACCTGTATCCCGACTCCGAGCTCGCAAACCTCTCGACGAGGCGCTGAAAGAGCAAGAATTACGAGAGGAAGACGTGACAAGCTTGTTCATGGGGTCCGAGAGAACGCTCAACGTCTTCAGGGAAAACACGAGTCAAAGCTGCCACCGGGAGCACAATGAGCCACTGGAGGGCAACATCAGGAGGACGACGAAAGCCGAGGGTAGCAGCAGCGCCGGCAACAGTATTTGCATCAGTGCTCGGGAGCCCGATATTGAGTTGATTCGAACCATGGAGGAGGTTAGACAGAAGATCGAACGCTTGGAAAAACAGGTGGAAGAGCTATCAGGGTTGGTGAGAAGGGAAAATACCCGGTATGAAAGTGCTTCTCAAGCCCCCCAACCAAGGGAACTAGTTGAAAAAAAAGAAGACATAAAAAGCGAGGAGAGGACAGTGAGCAGGAAGATGCATAGTTCTGAAACGATTCACGGTCTCGCGGCCGAAGCTGCAGCTCCCGATGGCCATGGCTCTGAAGGAGACAGCCATGGTCGTCTAGTTCCCCCTCTGAATGACGTCTTCGTCAAAGGGAGAGTCACGAAGGAAGACGATCGGAAGAGCTGCGCTCGAGCCTCTAGTATCCCGGAGGAGGGGGAGGAATCGCCGTCTGTTTGTGTTATGGAGGCCGCAGTGACAGCAGCGACAACGACGGAAAAGCGTGGTCCTTGGATCGGGATCTTAGTTGGGTCTCTATCTACTGGAATTCGTTCATTGCGTCGCAGGATGGCAGAGATAGGACCGGAGATGCGGAGGCTGGAGATGCTTGAGCGAGTGCTCAGGAGCAAGATCGTGCTTGAAGACGAAGGCGTGGTGATGGAAAAGACTGGCGAGGAGGAGGAGGTAGTGGACAGAAAGGGCGGGGCGATCTGTAGCCGTCGTTTTTCTCAAGGACGTGATGATGTTGCCAAGGAGTGGGAAAAATGGGGACCGTCTGTTGTTGGGGGCCCGAGGAGACGGGAAGGGCAAATGATGGCTGAGTCACACATGTCACAAAATGATGATTTAATAGTAGGATGGTGGGATGAATTGAAGGGATGGAGAGAGGCCATGAAGCGAGAGCTGGTGAGGGTGAAGGAGGTTGCCCGCTGCGCTCAGGCGGAGAGAGTCAAGGCGGCGGCTTCGGCGCTCGAGGCCGGCGCCATGACATTGAAGACGCGGGCGATGTGTTTTGCGGGTTGGGGAAAAGGAGGAACGGTCTGGGAGGGGACACAGTGCGCAGGATGCAGCGGCGGTAGTGAAAGTGCTAAGATGTGGACTAGTTTCAACGCCTTGAGCAGGAGAATGGACAGGGTCGAGGCCCTCACTATGGCGATGCAAGCATCTGTCAGCATCAGCGATAAAGAGGAGGAGGACGGCCGAGGGGAGAGTGAGGAGGATAAGCAGATTGAACCAGGGCGGGCAGAGAAGGGGGGTTGTAATGTGGAGAGGGCTGTGAAAGAGGCGGGAGATAGGTTGGTCTCTCTTGTTGGCAGGATCGAGGCGGGTTTTCTTCTCCCATGGGCAAGCCCGACTTCTGTGCAGGGTGCGAAAGGCGCCAGAGTTTCGAGAGGAGACAGGGAGGAGGAAATGCCAGAAACGTCGTCCTCGGAACTGCCGAGCGAGGACAAACTCATGCCAGATAAAAAAGAATTCGGTTATAATTTTCCATGTGATGGACCGGGAAGAGGAGGTACTTGTGATATTTCAGCTAGAGAGCAGCCCAGCTGGCGTCAGGACATATCTGACCACGAGAAATGGACGAAAGCGGCTCTCGAGAAGGTCGCATCCGATTTTGGTATGGCAGTAGCCGCTTTGCGACAGAAGACTGCAGAAGAGATGACGGAAACGCGGTCCAGGGTCTTCGCCTCGGACGCAAAGATCAAACGGCTGGGAGAAACGTTTGAGAGGCTGAGCGACACGTGGCGTGATGTGAAGGTCTTGGAGCAGGAACTAAGGACGCGCATGACGGATTTGGAGGCGAATATCAACCTTCCGAAGAGGACTGACGAGTCTGCTGCGAGGAGTGAGGAGGCCTGCACACTTGGCGGACGGGGAGACGGAGACAGATGGGACGCCGCTCTCTCTCGTGAGGATGGCTTTAACAGACTGCGGATCGAAGAACGGCTAGCAAGGACACTGAAGAGCGTTGAAGCGAGGGTCCGAGCTTTGGAGTCCAGCGGAGTAATTGCATTGTTGACTGGCAAGGGGGAAAAGAAGGGGGGAAGGAATAGCAGTAGCAGGGGGGGGGGAAGCGGGTGTGCAAGGTGGGGGGATGCTGAGGAGAATATCGATGGACAGACACTACTCGAGAAAACGGCTGACGCTGCGAAAGCGAGGACAGAGGATCAATTTGCGGTGGTGGAGAAGAGGATTTCAGAAGTTCTGGGAATAGAGGAAAATACGTATAAAGATAAACGAGAGCCGGAGGAACGGGAAGAGGAGGAAGGGGACAAGGGGGAACAAAGGGTTCTGAACTCCCGGGAAACCAACCAGCTCCGCTCAGACAAGCACCGGAGAAGTGCTGCTGCCTCTTTCCTGGCAACCGAGAGAAGACTGGAAAATCTGGAGAAGAGATTCGATAGGGTCACTGCGGAACAGGTTGCGAATAAGTCTGCCCAGACGACCTTGACGGAGAGAGTCGATGACGTCAACAGGTAGGCAGTGACCCCTCCATAACTATTAACTCAGCCTCAGTTGGATCAATCTGCAGACTCTGCAAGCAGCACATCCCAAACGTTACTCCTTTTTTTTTTTTTTTTTTTTTTTTTTTTT